GTGGATATAAAAATATTGTGGTTTGGTGGTACCGTTTTGTGTATTACCACCTCCTATGTCCTTGTGTTTTTTGCAAACCCCCGGTCCATTTTTCCGATTTTCCCCATGTTTACCAAAGAAATAGTAATTTAGTTAAATTAAATGAAGAAAAAATTTAAGATTTTTATAATTTTGTATTCACATTTTATTATATGTATTGCAGCATTTAAAGGAACTTATGATAATAATGGAAGTGCTGTAATAAAATTAAATGAAGTTTAACGTAAATATGGTGAAAATAAGGATTTTAATGTTTAAAGTAATTCATTGTATGGCCACTTAAAGGCTTGTATATGCAATATCAAAGAGCAATAACCATATTCCTTCTGTGGACGCTTTTGACTTTTAAAATTAAGAATTATAATATTATTAAACAAGTTATTGTAAGTAATTTTAATGATCAATATAAATTTTACACTATATTGCGAATGCGAATGGTAAATTTAAAAGAGATTTTTGATGAAAAAAAAAAATGCTAATAGGTCCGATTGTACAGCTAGGAGTTGTAAAATAAATGAAAAAAATGTTGTTAAAGGAAGGCCAAGTGTGGACTGGAATGCGGTCGATTGTTTGGCTAAAAATTATATGCCCCCATTAAAAGGGCCTTCATGTATATCTTAAACCAGTGCGTTCTACAATGTACATACATAACTATTATTACAATTATAAGACATGAGGTTCACAACGTGCCGTGTGTGTATGTGGGAATTAAAATATAATATGGACATTGTTCAAAATATAGTTTGGTGTTTTTTTTTTGCCATTAAAACATTCTATCCTAAATCCGATAATCCAAAAAGGTAAGTATATTTTTTGAATATTTTCAGAAGATTCCGCTAGAAAAGTTTAAGAAAGAAAATGTAGTCACTTCCACAAGAAGATCTCCTATGGATTTTTCTACTTAGTTTAATTCATGGAATTAGTTCTTTGGCTACATTTTTTTTGGTGGAAACATTGAAAGAAAAACGTAAAAAGTTGACTGAAGTATTCAAGTTTCCCTCCATAATATTCTTTACTGTACATTACTTCGCCCACAAAGGTTTAATAGTACTAATAAAAAAATCGATTCTGAGATTGTTCTCGACAAATTTAATCTCTCGGAGGAGTTTTCTGATTTTTGGCATACCTAGGGACATCGAAAATGACAATGTTTTCGTTAGGATATACAGGGTGATTATCTTATCCTGCAAATTTGTCTCCAAACACAACTTTCCTCAATTTATTCAAATCATTCCATTTCGAATTTTCTTCGAGACGCTACTCAGCAGGTAGGTATTTTATTCTATAACAAATGAAAGGGGAGATTCTGTGCGCGTAGTTTTTCCATTTCGCCCAAGTAGTGGGGAACATCACACTCACTATACCAGCAGCCCAGTCATATATAATATATTGCTGCGGCGCAAACGTGCCCTAAATAGTGCAGATAATTAAGCATAAAATAGGGTCCACCTACCAATTTTGAGGAAAAAAGATGAAAATTGGTATACAGCTTCATTTTGACGTTCTTATAGTTGTCCCAAGCGTCACAATAAATGTAGCCAACGCTTCTTTGGTCATTGCAGGTCAAAGGTCACAGAAATCGGTTTTTTGTGATTATCTCGGTTTCTATAGCTCCAACGATATGAACACCTATTAAAAAAGTTAGAGATAATAAAATTCCTAAGTACTTTTGTTTGAAACTTTTTTTTATAAATTGAACCGTTCCTGATATAAGGCGCGAAGAGTGTTAAGCCCTATGCTCCAAATTTTGACCTATAAATTAAAGGGACCTAACGGTGAATTTTTGCGTACACGTTGTTGTTATGGATCTAAATGGGAAAGTTTTCCATCGAGTCGTGATTATATAGGCCATTACGGAGGGTCAAAGGCCAGGCATGCGCTTATCAATATCTCGAAAACGATCAACTTTTTTAATAATTTCTTCTTAAAAATGCTATAGATCATTAAATTTTTTCCAAATTTGGTGTGTTGTCATAAATTTTATGATCTACAATTTTTATTTTGATGACTCCTGATTTTCAATGTTGCTATGAAAAATGGGAAAATTAAAAATATTGGCAGGAATAGGAATGACACTATTGAAAATTAGGTAACTAATTTGTTTTCTTTGAGGTTGGGGAGGTTGGAGTACCTACAAGAGGCGCTTTTTTTTTCATCGAATTATCCAATTAACCACCATTATGAGAGAGTCGTTTTGATTTTCCATGAACTAGACTAACTAGACAAAGATAGACTGCTCATCAATGTATCAACCGGCGTAAAAAAGAATGCAATAAATCTAATTAAATAATAAATACCAGTAATACCACAACAGAAAGTTAACAAACAAATATCCCTAGTTTGGCCCGGTTTCTGAGAAATATTCCCTTAATCCCTAATAAGTATTAATATCCCTGGATCTAGGGATAAAATCCCTAGGTTGGCATCACTGCATGAGAAATATGCAAATGATTTCCAGGATGGTAATGCAGTTCCAAATAACCCCTACTAGTATTTGATGTTCATTTAAAGAGCACTCATGTCAAAGATGCCATAAAGTAGGTCATAAAGAATGGTTTTGCGATTTCAGGAACCAAAATAAAGGTTTTAAGACAAATTAATACGAAAAATCCAAGATCAAATGCCATTTATGATGTTAATCATATTGGGTCAACTTCTGAAAGAAACTTTGTTCATTTCAAAATCAATAATATTCCAATCAGGTTACAAATTGATACAGCTTCAGATATCACGGATATCTCACAAGAAACATGGACAAATATAGGAAAACCAGAGTGTCAGCCCACAAATCATGATGCCAAAAGCGCTTCAGGTGATAAAATTAATTTAAGAGCAGAATTTCAATGTACACTAAGTTTCAAACAAAATAGTTTTCACGGTAAATGTTTTATCACTTCAATGCCTAATCTCAATTTACTGGGTATAGATTGGATCACAAAATTTGGTTTATGGAACGTACCATTCAATTCAGTCTGCAATGTTGTTAAATCAAAACATTTTTCAATCAATACACAATCATTAAAATTAGCCCTTCCTAAAGTTTTTCAAGAAACTTTTTGTCACTGTAAAAAAACCAAAGTTAATCTTCATATGAAAGAAGATGAAGTTCCTATTTTCAAAGCAAAAAGATCAGTGTAGCTTATTCAGTCATGGTTAAAGTTGACCAAGAACTTTAAAGGTTGCAAGAAAAAAATATCATATCATTAGTTGAATATTCTGATTGGGCAGCTCCAATTGTAGTTACAAAGAAACAAAACGGAGATGTCAGATTATGTGGCAATTACTCTACTGGTCTCAATGAAGCACTTCTCCACATGATTACCCTCTTCCAACAGTCGGAGATCTTTTTTCAGAATTACAAAATACTACAATTTTTAGTAAGTATAGTCATTAATCTTTCTGATGATTTCCTTCAAATTGAAATCAGTGAGAAAACAATAAACACCCATCATGGATTGTTTCAATACAATAGAATGCCATTTGGTATGAAAGTTGCCCCAGCCATTTTTCAACAAGTTATGGATACCATGTTATCAGGTCTGAAAGAAACCACGATATATATCGATGACATATTTTAGTAACCGCCCAATCAGAGGAAGAACATTTTCAAAATTTAAATCGTGTCCTAAGGCGTATAGTAGAGTTTGGTTTTCACTTGAAATTACAAAAATGTAAATTTGGAGTCAAAGAAATTAAGTATTTGGGATATATTTTAAGTGAATGTGAGTTGAAACCAGATCCAGCAAAAACTAAAGCTATCAGAAAATGCGACCGCCCCATGATATCAACACTCTACTCTCCTATCTTGGAGCAATAAGCTAAACCACTAAACGAATTATTAAAAAAAGGAATCAAATTTTATGGACAACAGAATGTCGAGAATCGTTTGAAAAATTTTAAAAAAATTTTAAGTCAGATCTGAGTCTTACCAACTACAACCCAGTTCACGAAATCATTGTACGGGCGACGCGAGTATTACTGGAATAGGAGCCTGTATTTTACACTGATTTAAAAAAGGCACTATCAAACCTATATGGCACGCATCTAGAACTCTTACTGAAACAGAAAAGAGATACAGTCAAATAGAGAAGGAGGCATTGGCTTTAATATTTGCTGTCACAAAATTTTACAGGATGATTTACGGTCGTAATTTCACTTTACAAACAGATCATAAACCTCTTTTGACTATTTTCGGTTCAAAAAAAGGAATTTCAATTCATACCGCAAATCGACTTCAAAGATGAGCATTAGTTCTCGTAGCATATGACTTCAAGATAGAATATATTAAAACTATTTTGGTCACGCAGATATTTTGTCAAGATTAGTTAGTTAGACACAATTAAATGATGAAGAATATTTGAATGCTCAAATCAACATCGAATCAGAAGTTTGTCATATATTTAATGAAGTTTTAGAAAATTTGCCAATTACTTTAAAGATGATTTATCAAGAAATTCAACAGGACAAAATATATTCTAAAGTTATTCAATATGTACAGAATGATTGGCCAACAAACAAAAAGGATATTGAAAATTCTGCACTTAATTTTTCTTATAGACGAGACTCGTTATCCGTTGTTGAAGGTTGTCTAATGTCTGGAGACAGAATAGTCATACCATTGAGACTTCAAAATTCTCTTCTGAAATCACTACATACGTCAAGCTTTACAATATCAAAATTAGAAGAAGTATATACACGATTTGGAATTGTTGAAACAGTTGTATCAGACAATGGCAGTCCATTCACTTGCAACGAATTTAAACAATTTTGTCAGAAGGATAATATTGAACATATTTGCACAGCAGCATATTGGCCACAGGCAAATGATCAGGCCGAAAAGTTTGTTGACACCTTTGAAAGAGCACTTTCAAAAATTGAACGAGGGGAAAGTCATAGGCAATTACAAGACACAAACATATTTTTAAGTGTGTACAGGTCTACTCCAAATCCAAATTATCCAGGTGGAAAATCTCCGGCTGAAAATGCTAGGAAGAAGAATGAGAATTCCACTGGATTTGTTACTTCCTCCAAAAAATACCCAGATTAATAAAATTTCAAACAAATTTAAAGAAAAAAATTTGATTTATGCTAAAATTTACAAAAATAACAAGTTCCGGATTCCTGCAAAAATCATAGAACTAGTTGGCAATGTGATGTAAGTACAACATACTAGTGTTTTATCCTAATAATCACAACATATTAAGATGCCATACTAATCAAATTAAAAGAAGATATGTTAAAGAACCAAATCAAAGTTTTCCGATCCCATTACATTTTTTAATAGAAGAGTTCAATTTGCAAGACAACGTAGAACAAAGCTCAGATCAGTGTTTCGATGAAGAAGTTATCATTGAAAATATACCAGATAATAACAATTCAATAGAATTCACAACAGATAATACAAATACTGAGGAAATGATCGACTGTCAAGAACATAGTGCAAATACTGTTAGTTCTAATAAAGCTGTTCTGAAGGAATATAATTCAGATAGTGAAGTTAGAAGATCAGGAAGGTTAAGAAGAAGACCTTCGTATTTAAAAGATTTTATTTAAAAAAAAAGGGAGAAATGTTAGGAAACATTACCACATTTTTGTAATATTGATTGTTATTGTATTTTACTGTTTAATTTAATAAAATCTTTCCAAAAACAAATATTGTTGTAGTTAATCCGAACTACAACAATACTCAAGCTTTTGGTTAGTGGTTGAAGGGAGACACTTTCTAATATAACGAATAGGTAGGTACCTGTTAAACTTTGAGTTTATTTTTGGTCGTTCTGGAAAAAAAAAATATTCGGGTATATTCGGAACTTTTTAAAAACCCTGTATAAAAAAAGTCAATGCTTCAAAATATTTCATTGGCGCCCAACGTGGGGCTTAATTTTGATGTGAGAGGATTTTACAAATGCATGTTCCTAATGTTATCATTCCGACTAAAAATACAAAAAAACTAGTTACCGTACGTCTGATAGGGTCTAGTTTGTGTAATTAAAAATTTCTCATATTTATTAGACAGATTTTCATAGACAGAAAATTAAAAATATTTTTTAATGCAATGCTTAATCAAAAATGCGGAAAAAAAAACTCAGATTAAACTTCAAAATTGAAACTCTATGAGGATTTCGATCACAAAAGCAAACTAAAAATATCCAATAACACTCATCGGCACTATTGCAACAGGCTTAGCAAAAAATCAGCTAATTAAGTAGTGACTGCAAATTTATAAAGTAATAAACCAGCCTCGGGCTTGTGAAACAAAAAGCCACACATTTTTGACGAAAATGAACATGTTAAAAACGGCTATTTTTGTTGCGTCCGCTTTCGCGTTACAGGCTTTGCTCTCATAAACCAAGCAAAAAATTTCCCCGTTTTAGCGCTAATTTTACCTTTTCCCCCAACGGTTTTTGGTGATGTAGATAAATGCCTGTCAGCCAATTTGGAGCCGGGCACCTGGGCTATAGGTTTTGGGTCATGAGGGTGTTCGAGACCCCGTAAGTGTTTATTACTACATTAGAAATTTTGGTTAATTTATTTGGCATTGAAAAACCCCATCCCGGTTCACCTAATTCACAGAAATATGATACACCGGTAGGTATCAAAGCAGAACATGATTCGGTGTTTGACTTTGACCAAAAACTGTAGTTCATAATAATGAATTAAAAGCAAAGTGGAATGTTAGTATGCGAAAAAAATATTTGTTTTTAGATTCTAATTTAATTTAAATTAAATTTCCTAAGCCTTGAAATATATTTTTGTTCGCAGTACCTTTTCTGTCCATATAAAGTGCTGGGTTGATTTTCGTAATTTGAAATCCTGTACGCACGACTGAAAAATAGTTCAATATTTTATCAGCTCCAATACGGTGCCAATCGGTTTCCTTTTCTGTTATAGTCCATATGTTTTTCTACATTTCTCCATTCTCTATGTACGCGTATCTCAGAAAAAAAGCGTATTTGCAACACTCATATTTTTAAATAAATTTTTTGGGGCGCAACGCGTGAATGATTAAGTCGATTGTCTTTGTGATCTGGCAAAGTTCGTGCTTTTATTTATACAGAGTGAGTGGTTGAGTCCACCCCATATGGAATTTTTGTTTATTAATTGATCTTTGGGAGGTTTGGGTATGGGATCAGCCTCTGGCTGGAGAGAAAAATCGGATATACCGCCAAAAAAATGTCCAAGAAGGAGACATCTTTGTGGGACAATTTGGACAAACTTCCTTTTGGTTCAATTTTTTTCGAAATGACTTCTCCTAAATAATTGTGTATAGTGGCCCCCAGAAAATCCAGACTTCAAGATAGAATATCGATACCAGTATTCTGTCAAAACAAAAGTCTGGTATTGTATTTCAAACAATGCACTGTAAATGCCCTTTTTTCAAGGGGAAATTCAAATTCCCAAGAATTTTTGCGATTTTAAAATATAGAAAATAGCCAACTAGTAGGTACATATTTGGCCGAATAGTGGTTAGTATCAAAACAGCTGTTAGAATTATTCAGGAGTTAAGTAATTGGGCACAATATTCACCTGACTTGACTGCACTAGACGTGTTCTTATAACGGTACTTGAATTAAAAATTCTATCGATGTATGCCTTTCTGGAATGTCGATCATTTGGAGGAACTCATTTGGGAACGTGCCTCAAATATTTCCCCCAACCTTGTATTAAATTTCTCATTTTGAATCATTATACATATTATATATACCCATTATGTTCTGAAAACCGTATTGTACTGCAAAGCTTTTTTACATTGTAAAAAAATCCTAATACGTTTATTTGTCTTATTTTTTCGTCGATCTTTTGCATCGGATCAGTGATATGTATTGGGAAATGGACTAAGAAATAAAAGAACTTGTTAATTATCGATATTCAATATATTTATTATATCGAACACAGCGTGGAAAGCAGAGCGTGTAAACTCATAGAAATAACTATAAGAACTGACTCAACATCAAGACAAAGAATTACAAACCCTTTCCTAAGTAAACGATTCCTCATCTGTTTACCTTACATATAAAAACTATTATAAACACATTCAGTCATCCATAGCTGCGATATAAATGAGCAAAGTATACAGGGTGACTGGTAAGTGGACGTATTCCTTTGAGGAGATGACATTAGAGCCTATTTGCTACCGATTAAACACTATTTACCTCTATACCATTCTTAACGGTTTTCGCGATATTTTCATTTTTCTAATTTTTATAAAATTCACTACCTTATGAGGCAAATATTTAAAATTAACAAAAATAATAAGGACCTTTCTGAAAGTCGTGTTTTAAATTTTAAGCTGACACACTGACAAAAATATCAGCATTGAAAATTATCGAAACACTAATGTTAACTATTGAGTTATTGCGGTTTAAACTTAACTTTTCTTGTTAAGTTTCTAACTAATGACTTATTTACCCTAAAAATATCGAAAATTTCATAGTACTTCAAACGTACAAATAATTGGCAAAAGTACTCCATTTTATTGTCTCCAAGATAAGGTACATTATTTCAGAATTAGCTTTTTGCTTTCTTGTTAAATAAATTATTTTTATTTTAAGGAGAGACGATATAATTTTCAACAGAATTCTAATTTATACCTGTTTTGGATATCAAGTGTTGCAATAAAAATTTTATCAAATTTTTTAGTAGCTAATAGTAATAGTTTTTAGTAAAGAAGTAATTATTATTTTCTGCTTGAAAATTTTGAAATTTTCATAATAAATTACTGGCACTCTATGGCCAAGCATTGTTGAATGCATTCTCTTTCAAATAGTTCACAATTGGCACCTAATTTTTTCGTTCCATAATAAAACAATAATTACCATTTGAAAAAATGTATTTCCTATCATAATAAAAAAAACAACATTCTCAAAATGAAATGGAAAAACTTTTTGATACAATTTAATCAATAACTCATTAATTTTCAAAATGACTAACCCCATTCCTTATGCAATTACGAGCCCGTCTTCGTATTTCTGTCCTGGTTACTCGATTTGAAAAGTTCTGTCGCAATATCGCAACAGGAGTTAAATCAGGGCTCCTAACAGGCCATGGTATGGGTCCACCTCTTCCAATCCATCTATTCGGAATCCTTTGGTCTAAGAGTGCCCTTATTGTTAGACGATAGTGTGCAGGACATCCGTCAAGCTGGAAGATCATCTGTTTGCCTGTTCGCTAAAGGGACATCTTGTAGTAGCTCATACAAGTTGTTACGTGAAAATTCTTCATAATTTTCACCGTTAAGGTTATCAGGTAAAAAATCAAAATTTGTTATTCCTTCTCTAATATTGTAGCATCCTCAACATCCGAATTCAGAATAAATCTGCAGAACTGAATTCTGCGAATTAATGGTTTCTTTATGCTGAAAAATTTCGAAAACTTCATAAAGTGTGTTTTTTTTTAAAAGATAATTCCCCAAGTCAAAAATTTAGTAACTATGTTGGCAACACAAGCCTTTTCTACATGAAAAATTTGAAAGCATTGACAATTTTACATTGTATTGCCAACATAATGTCAGTTTGACTTTTATCTTTAAAAAAAAAAACGCACTTTAGTCCACCAAACGTACAAATGATTGTTAAAAATTCTCTATTTTATTGTCTTTAAAATAAGGTTGTTTTATTGTTGATTTCATAATTTTCATTTGTAGGAGTAACGGTTTTATTCTCGCATTTAGAAGAATTGTAAGTTCAGACTAAGTAAGCAACATTATTTTCCAGTCTTTTCTTATTGCAATTTGGTGTGATACTCGCCAATCATGTTGATATTTATCAACAGGTATACCATACGCATTTTTCCATTTTTTGAATTAATAATAATAAACAATAACAAAATTTAGTTTCAGTTTTTCGTCCAAAGTTTTGATTTAAATAGTTCTGATGATAGTCTTTCGCTGTTAACTTCTATCTAAAATGGCAACGTTTAGCTATGCTGAATATGCGGACATTTTATTTATTTATGGTTTTTCCAATGGAAATGCAGCTGAAGCTCAAAGAGAATATGTACGTCGCTTCCCAAATAGGCGCATTCCACATGTTAGTGTGTTTGGTGCAACTTACCGTCGCATTTCAGAATCTGGCAGCCTTCAACGAGTAGAACGCGTAGGAGCTCCTCCTGCAGACGTTAACATTGATGGTGAAATTTTGAGACTACTTGAAGAAGGTCCAACAACAAGCACCAGAAAAATTTCCCGACAGCTGGGTGTTTCACAATGGAAGGTCTGGTCAGTGATTCATCAAAATGGTCTTCACCCATTTCATCACACTCCTGTGCAAGGACTAGACGAGGGTGATCCGGCGCGCAGAGTTCAATTCTGCAGATTTATTCTCCATGCGGATATTGAGGATGCTTCATTTTTAACAAGAATTTTATGGACCGATGAATCAAAATTTAGCAGAGAAGGAATAACAAATTTTCATAATTTGCACTACTGGGCCGAAGATAATCCGCATCAGAAGAAGCAAGTTAGTTTCCAAAGAAAATTTAGTGTCAATGTATGGATGGGAGTTATCGCCAATAATTTAATTGGACCTCATTTTTTACCGGATAACCTTAACGGT